TACAGTCACTTTCTTATCCTGTTTGATCACTCAAATTCACCCTTCTGCCAGGAGAGTGTGTCCTGTGGAAATAACTGGTGAGCATTTGCTTATTCACGTATTATTTTCTGCCTGCTTACTGAAAAGCTTTGGCAACTTGGGTCAGTTTTCAGTAAGAGGATTTCTAGAATAAGAGCCATCAAATGGGCAGGAGTAATGACCAAAAAAACCCATTGATTAAGGATAGTTCACTGGAGTTGAGGACAAACTCTGAGATTCCTGATAGTTAAGGCAAAAAGGACAGCTTTCTGTGAATCAGCGTTTTCATCTCATTGGCCCATAGTAGGCAACATGGTGTCATGGTCTGGGCACCTAGACTTCTACACTACCCTACAGGGAATTGACTGGCCAAGGAAGGGGGAAGGTTAGTGAACAACACACAGCAGCTTTACTCCATAGGGTGATCTTTATGATCCTTCATCCCCATGATTCCTTGCTTAGAAATGATAGAATTATGTTGACCAGATGCTTGCAGCTTGAGTTTGTTTCCTAGGTGGAAAAAATCTATATAGTTCATACAAATAGCATCTGAAAAATTCAGCGTTTTGTTTCCTTTTTTGACCTGCTGTGGCCTCATTTGAGATTTCTCAGACTCTACATTGTGCTGATTGATTATGAATAAGATAACAAATAACCCTTAAAGAGGAAAAATGATAGAATTAAATCATACTACATTGAAGCAAATCAATAGGGAGATAATGTAATGTAGTGATCTGAATAGCTTTCTGGCACCTGGAATTGATAATTTTGTAGGATCTTGGGCTTGCCCACACCTTCTGAACATTTTCACACTGAGATCTCCAAGTCAACATTCATCCACTGAGAAGGCTTAGCTCAGAAGCCATGTCCGCTGGATGTTCATCTCACAGGTCACCGAAGCCCATGATACTGCCATGGGCTGGATGCCTTGTGTTGTGCTTGGTTTTTGATCTACCAAAAATTATCCTTCCTTGCATCCCAGTGGCATTAACTGCTCTATAACTTGAGGCAGGTTCTTTGCTATCTTATAAAGTCCTAGAGAGCAAGGATCACGATTTCTTCAATTTTCTTTATTCTGATAAAATATGCATAACAAAGTTTACCATTTTAACCATTTAAATTATACAATCAAATGGCATTAGATACATTCAGATTGTTGTTCAACCATCACCAGTATACATTTCTACAGTGGATTTCTTTTAAAATTATGTTTGTTTGAAGTGTGATTGAAAAATATGGTGACTTTAAATCAGAAAAAACATTATTACAGCGAAAGACACATTGCCGTTAATCCCACTCAAAATACCCTTACTTTGAGCACACTTATACTCATGGTTCTTGCTACTTTCTGAAGTAGTTCTGGAAGTCCTCTTTTGTAAGTGTCTGTAGTGGCATTGTTGTGGCTGCCTTGATGTCTAGAATTGATTCAAAATGTTTACCTTTCATGGTCATTTTGACTTTGGGGAAGAGACAGATGTTGTATAGTGCCAGATCTGGTGAATAAGCTGGATGAGGACACATTAATGTTTTTATGAGTCTCTTTTGCCATTGGATGGCACTTGGCAGCAGCAGCATTTATTGTATTTTTAATCTCACCTTGTAAAGACACTAAAAGTGGACTTCTAGAGCGGCTTTAGAAAGTCACAAAGATGATGGAATAAGTGTGTTTGAAGTTAGGGGAACTGTTAATGGCAATGTCTTTACTGTAATAAATTTAAACATTATGTATTTTTGATCACACCTGATCACCGTGGTATTTTGTATGGAATTGGTGCTTCGTATGGAATAAGTGCTTTAAAGTGGAAGATTCAGATTGCAGCAGTTGTCAGGGATTCAGGTTGAATGATAACAAATCTTATAGATTTAGAAATATAAGACTTTAAAGTCTCTCCAGGTACTCAAGGTAGGATTTATAGTAGGAAAATTACTCTTTTTGACGCACAACTATAATTTGATTCTTGCTGAGACCAGATGGGATTGTCTCAGGATCCAGGCATTAGCCACCAACCAACTACTCAATTAGAGTTGGCCTGTGAAATGAGGTGGACCCGTCTGGGCCAGCAGGGTTGTCATTTATCTGGGTGATACAGATTCCAGTCTCAACTGTGTTGCCTTGGCCAAGGCTGCTTCCTGACAGACCTCTTCCTCTAGGCCTTTCCTTCTTGGAGCCCCATACCTGACCAGGGCTGTTCCTGACCCAACCTGCCCCTGCACACTTGGAGGTGGTGCCTCTTTGAGAATGACCTTTTGATTCCTCTCTTCCTTCCATTGTTACTTTTTTTTTAAAGTGCATGTTTGCAGTACATAATGTTTACATTCATTGTGTGGAGCTGGTACATTACATAACACATCTTAATTCTTTTTTGTATCCTTTTTTCCTCCTCTCCTCATCTCTTGACCTCCTTCTCATTTGAGAAAAATTTACCTCCCCACTTCTTATTTTGCTCTTTGCAATGTTCCCTCCTTTTAGTGCTGATCTTGAAGGAAACTTGGGCACTGAAGGGTATGGGACTGGTGTGTTATGGGGAAAATGAAATTGACCAAAATTGCCTTATGAGGAAGTTCTAATCTTAACATTGCTGAGTAGATTTCAACTAAAGCTGCTATCTCATTCTCTGTAGCACACACCCTTGCCTCTAGGGCAGGCAGGCAGGCAGGCAGCTTTCACAAACCCCAGCCAGGCTTTACTGTGGCCTGTCTCTGGGCTCTCTAGCTTGAAAGAACCCCTCATTTCCTCTTTTGGCCCAGACTTACAGAGAAGCAGCCCTGTGTGATAGGCCCACCAACTATGGAAAGAGATGGAACAATTTTGGGAAACAGTCTCTGCCTTATTAACTCCGAGTATGACTAAGTGGGGTTGAGAAATATCTTTGTTCCTCTAGGGTGCCACTTGGCAGAGACATTCAGCAGAAAGAAGAGGAAGGGTAGAAGAGGGGGCAGTGCAGGGCTTTAGGTTTGGCACTTTTAATTATGCTTCTGTATATAGGGCTCTTTGTCCTATTTTATAGTGAGGAAACTGAATGTGACTCGAGTGTGACTTTTCCAGTTGTATATCCGTGCAAGTGCTATAGCTAGGATTTGCTCGCTGATTTTTCTGCTGCCAAAGCCCTGACTTCACCACCACCAGTGGCAAAAAAGTTAAGGTTTAGCTTGAATGATTCTGCTTTGATAGTTTCCAACAACTCAGATCTCTTTCCAGCAAGTGCAGGGTTTGTCTTTTCAGCTCCCAGCACTCTGGGGTCAACACAGGATTATTTCACAGGGACACTCTTGGCCTAATGTCTTTCACTATGGGCTTTCAGAGACCCCAGGCAGAGAAGTGGTAAAAATGACCTTAAATAGTGTTGACTACAACACAGTCACTCATCCCATTACTGGGAGATGGAACTCTGCTGGGGCCGGAGGGTGTAGAGGTGCTCATTTGGTGAGTTGGAATGGATATTTGGAATTCTTAATGATTTAAAAAAGTGTCTCATGATTCTGATGTGCATTCAATTCTGGGAACTCTTATCACAAGTGGCAAAATGGAGACTGGGCAGGAGTTACCAGATTCATCTTTAATTGAGGCAAAGCTTTCTAACTCAAACTGGAACTTAGAGAAGCAGTGAGCCTCTCAAGCTTCGAAGTGTTGGAATATGGGCTGGATAATTATTGGGGTGGGAGGGTGACAAAGTCTACAAAGTCTGACAAAGTCTACATCTGTCTGAATACAGATGCTGTATTCACTGGGATTTTGAGCTAGTGACCCTAAAGGGCTTTCCTTTGTTAAGTGGATTTTTTTTTTAGCTGTCCCACTGCCATGTGTATACTTGGCATCTCCTTTATGGCTTTCTTCCGTGACTCTGGGCCAGGTGCTCCTTCCTTCTGGCTGGCTGAGGTACCAGGAGCCTGAAATGAAATGGAATGACAGTTGGGTTCTCCCTGATTTAGACCAAGAGACTCAAATAGCCCAAGAGAGCTCTCTAATATGTGATGGCAATAAGAGACTTGTAAGAAATTCTCATTTGTGCAATCCCAAACCCAACAGAATAGACAAGTCTCACTTTGGGTGGGGGAAGGAATAGAGAAGAGGCTGAATCCTGATGAATGGGAAGAAGCTGCCCCTTCACCATTGTCTCTTCCTACTCTGTCCTTATCTAGCCCACACAAACCTTGTATTTGTGATTCCTTGTTTGTATACTGGCAGTCATGGAGGAGTTGACTAGTACACCATGAATTTTCTGTTCTGCTCACAGCTGCTTTCAGTGTTTTACCCCAGACTGTGGTTTTTCAATGTTTGGGATCTTGGAGGAACGATAAAAGATCAGTATTGGCGAGGGTGTTTGAGAGATATGAAGGCCCGTCCATTATTTGATAGGGGCAGGGACAGTCCCAAAGAGAAGGGCTTGCTTGACCCCATGGCGAGTTAAGATACAGCCTCAAGGGAGATATAAGGGACTTCTCTTTCTTTTTCTTGTCACAAAGAGGAGGACACTGGATTTGCCCTTAGAGGATTAAATGCCTTTTGCTGCTTTGGAAATCCTAGGCTACAAGTTCTGTTAGAAATATTCAAGTCAGGCATAGTGGCCCATGCCTATAATCCTAGCTACTAGGAGGATCACAAGTTTGAGGCCAGCGTGGGCAGCTTAGTAAGCGTCTATCTCAAAATAAAAAATAAAAAGGGATGGGCATGATAGAGCACTGCTAGGTGAATCCGCAATACTGCAAAGGAAAAAGAAAAGTCAAGGGGATCTGACAAAAGTGCCGAAAAATATAAAAAAGTATAATAATGACTGTGGGAGCTTCCAAGAAGGAAACTGAGAAGGGTTGCTGGTGTTTCTCCAGAACAAAGCCTTGTCAAATTGATTTCTGCTAAAAGTCTAATAATCACCTTCTGTTCATGACAGATTTTGCCTTTTGAAAAGTTGAGTGACATTCCACGCCAAAGAACTATATGATAATTTAACTCATTGGTCTCTGTTTTTGGTTTCTCATTCTTTTAGGTTGACCAATATCTCTACCACATGCGTCTCTCTGATGAGACCCTTCTGGACATTTCTAAGCGGTTCCGCAAGGAGATGGTAAAAGGGCTTGGAGCTACCACCCATCCCACTGCTTCTGTGAAAATGCTGCCCACCTTTGTGAGGTCCACCCCAGATGGAACAGGTACTGCACCTGGGGGGTTGCTGGCTCTGACTGCCCCTTGACTGACAGGCGATATTTTGGGGCTTGCTCGGGGACCCAAAGACCTATGTGTCAGTGATGAAGGTTCAAGTCTCAGAAGTCAAACAGGGACCCATTGGAAGGCTGTGGATGGACTGGGCTGGAGACTGGGAAGCTGGCAGCCTTGGCAGTCAAGCTTGAAGGATCTCTGAGCCCTCACAAGGCACTGCTGACTGACATTTACTTTTCATCCATGTGCTGAGAAAAGCTTCCTAGCTCCATTTGGAATTTTATAGTCCCACAGAGATTTCCCACAGTGGTAGTGATGGACCACAACAAATGTGCCCTCATGGTCACAGTCATTGGTTGTGGCAACTGCTCTCAGGTCCACCTATGCACATGTCCTAACTGGCACGTTCTGTAGGCATATTGGGAAAGCATAGCTCAGATTGCCCTCGACTGTGTCATGAACTTGAAAAAAAAAAAATGACTAGAAGTATAAGTTGGGGAAAATGTGAAGACTCAGAGTACACATTAAGGTATTAAAGGCTCTGAAGTTCTGCAATAAGAACCTGTTATGCTTTTTTAATCCTCTATTTGGATACTGTTTTTGTGGTGTGCCACCTAGCAAGTGTTTTTTCTCATGAGTGGAGACTACAGTTAAAAGGTAGATAAAAGCTAGTTCCCAGAAGGCCTTGCATGCCAGCCTAAAATGTGGAATCCTCAGTAGGCACTGGGGATCAGTGAAAGGTTTTGGGGTGTGTGAGCACAACTGTCTTGCTGATGGATGTTGCAGCAGCAACAGTAGCTATAGAGTGCAGGAGAGAGGTGGAGGCTGGGAGGGCACAGACATGGTCCATGTAGGGTATGGGAAGAGAGCAGAATCAAAGGGGATGTCAGGAGGGGGAGCACAGCTGCCTGTATGACACCCTCCTAGAAAAGGGCACAGAACTGATCTATGTCAGTGCTTTCACACAACTTGTTTGATTTACTCCTCACAATGACCCTCCCACGTCTTAGAAATGACACCTGTGAGGCCCATGAGGGGTGGGGGCAGGGGGAGGCTACATCTAGGAGGACAGGAGAGAGGGCCCAAGGGGGAACTGTGAGGCAGCAGAAGGACCTGAGGAGGAGAGAGTAGTCCAAGAAGCCAACTGGTGGGGTAAGGTATTTGCAGAGAGGCACAGGGCTGGGGGCTGCTGAAGGGCACATGGGAGGGTTTGTTTACATGCCACATGGCTATTTCTATCTCATGTGTCCTTGAGGTTCACCGTCCTGAGAGTTTCTAGGGACCTGGTCTGTCCAACAAAACTGTATAGTTTTTAACCTAAGTGTATGTTTGCTGAAGCCTTGGGACATAGCCTGGACCCAGTGTGACCTTGTTCCAGGGCTATTTTGCAAAGACTCCCTTGAGGTGGGGTTGCCTGGGAGTTCTTTCTCCTGTGCCCTCTAGATTGGCACATTTACTTTCAGAGAGAAACCACATCCACTTCTATTGATTCTGTTTGACATTCTGATGAATTTACCTGGTCTTGAAAGATCTTATTTTACTCAGCACTCACATCAAGTGCCATAAATATCCAAAGACAGATTATGGGCTAAGGACTATTCCGAACACCTACGTATGTTAACTCATTTTTACTTTTCACAAAACTATATGAAGTAGGTGCAAATTTTAGCCACAATTTTCAGGTGAGGAATTTGAGCCTTGGATGGTCCAAAACCTTGCCCCAAATCATGCAGCTAATGAGAAGCTAAGCCATAAGTTAAACTTTTTTTTTTTTTAACCCAAATTGAGGCATTAAGACCACACTTGTTGTGTTGGTGTTTTTGTGCATGTGTGGGTCTTTGCACTCAGTACTGGAGCACACAGAAAATACTCACCTAAAATTTTTTGAGGTGATATTGGGGCTTATAGTTTTGCCCATGTTATAGGTGGGTGAAAAATTTGTTGAACCAATTATGGGAGTTATGAGATGTGGGACATCTTGGCAATTCTAACTACACTCTGAACAAACTCCCATGTATATCTGAGGAGACATGTCTAGTAATGTTCACAGCAGTGTTGCTTATAATGACAGCATATTAGAAATAGTGTGGGGTATGTTCATATGTGATGAGAAATCACAGCATGTTACAAGAATAAGCATATTAAATATGGATATATGTCCAAAAAATTGTGAATAAACAGTTGGGGAAGGACATGAACCTCCTAGTAGTTGAATGCAAATTAAAAAAAATCCCTCAAAGCAACAATACATTGCCGATGGCACACACATAGAGATACATCCTAGAAATGTTAGGATAGATACTGAACATGTCCACCAGATAGGTGATAGGGGCTGTTTCTCCAGAGAGAAAGGAAAGTGGAACTGAGGAGATGAATGTAAGGGCATGAACTATCAAATTTGGTTGACATCATGGCTTTTAAGTTCGTGTTTTGTCAGCTGGTGTGAGTTACAGAATGAGGGGTGGGGGTGGGGATGCTCTCCTAAGTTGATAAAGACTAGCCAGAATGAAGATTCTTCTTTGTTGTGGACAACCCCAGTGAGGTGCTGAGAAGGGCTGGGGGTGCAGTGGTGGCCAGACAGGGCCTGTAGCTTTCTGCCTAAATCTCGTCACATGTAACCATGGGCCTTGCCCATGCACCTGCTTCCTGGTCAAGGCTGGGGCCTGAGCTTCTGTTGCTGCTATTGGTGCTTGTATGTGTTTCTGCCACAGAAGGCCCAAGACCTTTGCTCCAGTGTTGCCTACTCAACATGGTTTTTATCAGAGCCTTGGTTCATTTCCAGCATTACTTTTTAAATCTAAGGAATTAAAACCTCAAATCTAGAAGGACCTAATCCTTAAATCAGTAGCTTTCTAACTTTTTGAAACTATATCCTTACGGCAAGAGACTCATATGCATAAATGTTTATATGAAATGACGCAAGCTCCAGGAATTTATTCTTAAATGCGATGCAGTTGGATCTATTTCCCATTCTTTAAGAAAGAATCTACGTAGCCAGAATCTACAAAATGTTTTGCAACTTGGCACTTTGAAAGTTGCCACCTTAAAGACTTTATGAACAAAATCCTGGTTGGACAGGAAATATTACAAAGGATCAACAAATAGGATCACATCAAAGGAAACCACCAAAAGAGTGAAGAGACAACCTACAGAATGGGAAAAAATGTTTCCTTTCTACTCCTCAGGCAGAGGACTAATAACTAGAATATACAACTAAAAAAAAGACCCATCACGTTTACAGACCCAGTCAAAAAATGGGCAAGTGAAATGAATAGACACTTCTCAAATGAAGAAGTAGAAATGGCCAAGAGATACATGAAAAAATGGATAAAGCAAATGGAATACTCTGCCATAAAGGATAAACTTGAGACTTTTTAGATAAATGGATGCGTCTTGACACCATAATCTTAAGTGAAATAAATCAGACATGTACACTTAAATAATACATTGTTTTTCTTGTGTGAGAAACCCAAATAAGCAAAATGGAGGGTAGATATTAAGAAGTAGGGAGAACTTTTTCAAACGGGAAAGGGAACAAGAGATGGGGGAGGGGAGAAGGGAGGAAGAGGAAAGGGATTTAAAGAAAAAAGTGGAAATAGAACTTTTGTAAATGGGGAAGGGGAGAACAGTTGGAGGAAGGGGAGGGAAAGGGAACAACAACAAAAAAAGAATCGAGATATGCCATACCCATAGAAATCCCCCATGATGAAGTGATCATTATGTACTTAAAAAATGTTCTAATAAAAATATAAATTTAAAAAAGAAAGCTACTGCCTTAAATAACTCTCACCCCAGTCTTGTTCTAGTAGGCTGGCAACCCTAATATTGATAGCTACTTGCCAGGCATAAAATATATAGTGTCAAGTACGTGTGGAGACAAGGGTGAGGAGCAGAAATCTAGGTTTAAATGGATTTTAATTCAAGCTGTTCATTTATACTGTGCTTCTCCATTTCTGCTTTGATAAAAAGAGGAAACATCAGCATTGGTTCTCTGAGACATAAAGAAGAACCAGCTCTGTGACCTTCCCATGTGTGCGAGGGTCATGCTCCTATAGCCAAAGCTCATCAGGGTAAAAGGCATGCTTGTTTCAGATTTTACTGAGAAAGGGCGAGTGAGCCTCCTAGGTCCTTCCTTTTTTTTTTGGTACAGGGGATTGAACTCGGGTCCTTGCGCTTGTGCAGCAGGCGGCGAAACCACTGAGCTAAATCCCTGGCCCTCCCCCTAGGTCCTTTCTTTTGAAGGAGATTGGGGTAGAGTGAGTAGAGTGAGGGCTCATCCTCATCAGTGAGCCTACATTTTAGAGCAGGGACTGGGCTCTATATCTAGCCCAGCCATCTAGTCATAATAAAAGTCTAGGTAGAAGATGTAGGAGAGAATTCAGAAAGTTTCAGGGCATCCATTTTTTGGTGGGCACCTCCATTACACTGGAGGAAAGGGAACCTGTAAATCCTGGCTTACAGTTCTTGGTGAGAAGGCAGTGGATGTCTGAAACCACTGGGCTCTTTGGGGCTGAGGTGCTTGAGGCGGAGTTTGAGTGGAGTACATGTATGAAGAAACATGACTGGCAAGCGCAATAGATAAAAAAGGCTTCAGAATATCTTACTCTGATGACTGAATTTGGTGTTAGCCAGGGCATGTGCAATTTTTATATATTAAACTTAAAAAAATGTTTAGGGAGATGGAAATGTTAACTGCCTTGATTTGATTGTTACCTACTGTATATATTGAATTTTTAATTTCATTCGTGACCCATTGGTTGTTCAGGAGAGTGTTATTTAATTTCCATGTGTTTATGGAGTTTTTGTGGTTTCTTTTGCCATTGATTTCCAATTTCATTGCACTATGGTCTGATAATATATGAAGGATAATTTCAATTTCTTTGCATTCAATTTCTTTGCATTTCAATTTCTTTACTTAAGCATGTTCTATAAGCTAGTATGTGGTCTGTTTTGGAGAATGTCTTGTACGCAGCTGAGAAGAATGTATTCTGAT